ACAAAGTATGGTACACAAGGCAAACACTAGTACTACCCTATTGAATCTCATTGAACAAGGCGAGAACATTCGAACGAGAACGTTTACATAACTACTCTAAGCTGCGCTTAGCCGAGTCAGCAATGGCAGGTGAAAATTACAACACATGCTTAGTTGGTAATTTTTACCCACCTAGAAGTAGTTGTTTTAACAGTTTCAGATATGAAACTGTCAGATGTTACGCACCTTCCCGCAGTTACGAAATGTGCGTCACGTGTTCAATTTCTCAATGTCGCAGGTAGATTTTGCTGTTTTCGGTCCAAATCGTTTGAGGTTAACTTACGAAATCGCGAATTTCTCGAGATTTCGGAACGCACCTTCACCAGAAAACGAAGTCCTTGTTTTTCTGTCGAAGGGGCGCTCGCAGAAGCGAAGTCCGAGATGACTATCTGCCGCGCTTCTGCCGAATTTCGTTTCTGTCGAGGGGGTCGTCCACAGAAGAGATAGCCGAATTGCCTTTTCTGCCGAACTTTGGCAGAACGCAATTCTGCGCGAACAGGTTCTTGCGTGACCGGCCCGAGGTTCTGCTGGAACGCATTTCCGAGAGTCGCTTCTGCCGAAAGGATCGCCCGCAAAAATGTCTTCTGCGCGATCCTTCTGCAGAGGACAAACCCTTCTGCGAATGGCCCCTGGTGCCAAATCTGCAGAGAGTCTTGTACACTCTCGATTCTGCTGAGACCGCTTCTACAGAAGCTCCGAAATCTGTAGAAGCTATATGCAGAAAACGCGCTCCTGTTCTGCCACTCCGACAGAACCGCATTTCTGCCACCAACGAAAACTGCTCTTCTGCCAATTCCTGCAGAGCCTCGCCTTGTCGACAAATCTTCTCTTCATCGATGCGCCTTTCTGCAGGTCTCGTGTCTGCATACTTCGTTGATACGCCGCTTCCGCGGACTTCTACAACCTTCGTAGGATCAGGGCCATTCTCGACACACCAGTTGCTACTCGAAGAATACCACGATGTCCTATACGCGGGACACCTCGGTAGCAACAAAATGCTCACCAGTATTGCAAAGGACTGCTACTGGCTCCACATGGCAGCGAACGTCCAACAATTCGTCACATCGTATGCTACATGTCAACGGATGAAGAGCAACAAGCTGAAAAAAGCAGGACTGCTACAGTTTCTTCCTGTCCCAGAACAACTATGGCAAGTGGTTAGCGTGGATTTTATCACAGGGTTACCAACTACCACTAGCGGTCATGATGCAATCCTCGTCGTTATCGAGAAATTCTCCAAAATGGGACACTTCATCTTGACGCACACGACAGCACGCACTTAAGAGATAGCACAACTATTCGTTTGCTACATCATCTCATAACGTGGCATTCCAACCACACTCTTTTCTGACCGAGACCCCAAGTTCACCAGCAAGTTCTGGAAAGAACTAATGTCTCTGCTCGGGATCAAACTCGCCATGTCATCCGCCTACCATCCGCAGACAGATGGACAGACCGAGCGCCTCAACCAAATTGTATAGCAACTCCTCCGCATAGCATGCAAAGGCAAAATCTCTAAATGGGACTTGCATCTGCTCGTCCTGGAGTTTGCCTACAACAACGGTACTCACGCCGCTACTGGACACACGACGTTCTTCCTCTGCTACGGATGCCACCCACTCACGCCACAAAAACCGACAGCATTAGCTACAGTCCAACCCACACACGACTCCATCACAACCGTGCATCAGCTTTGGGATCGGACCCGCAAGCGCCTCCTCGACATTCAGCAGCAACAGAAGGGTCTATTCCCTTTAGATAGGATAAAGCTGGTTACCTGATGTACTTCAGAAGTATAGAAGCGCCTTGTATCAATCGATAGTGCAACTTTCCCTCAACACATTCGATTCGGTAACACTAGGCTACATAAGGCATAAGGTTTTACGCGTGATGCAGCAAGGGAGCCTAGACTACACACAGGAGGCATACCTATACAAGGCAACACAGGGTAGTAAGGTTCGATCACACTAGAGTCATCAGCATACATGGCATGCAAAGAAGAGCAAATCTGATCCATATCCATCTCGAAGACAGGCACACGGCGACGCACCAGATTGGGCCAGTCGGGAAGATCCGTTGCAGGGCCGAAGTGGAGACGGAAGAGGTCGTCCAGGCGGCGGAAGCAGCGGGTGGCAGTGTGACTGAGATGGTCACACACAGTGCCGCGGAGGGGGCTGGTCTGGAGCTGGTACCAGCAACCCATAGCACCGAAGCTGCCACCCTACGCCGAGAAGCGGGGGCCGCCATCGCGGCCACCACCATCAGAGGCTTCGAGACACCCTGGTGGGAGGCGGCCCCACTGCGGCTGCTGCTGCTGCTGCGACTGCTGCTGCTGTGGCTGCTGCAATTGTTGGTGCTGCTGCGGCTGCTGCAATTGTTGCTGCTGCTGCTGCTCCGGGGCACCAGCGCCAGTCCAATCGTGTGAACCACCGTCCACGCCCCCACCCCCACCACCCTTCCCTCCGCCACGCCCCCCCTTGGAGCGGCGGTCCCTACCCTGACGCGACTGCACTGAGGCCGTAGCAGCGGTGTCAACAACAGTGGCTGTCTCAGCAACAGCGGCATAAATGCCAGAGTAAGTGCACTAGAAGGGAGCACAGCCCTGAAAGATAGGGATTGCAGAAGTACCGCTAGACTGAGCGATAGTGCGCTGGCGGGTCTCTATCTCGAACATGGTAGTGACAAAGGCAGTAAGGGTGAGGTCATCTAGGTGCTGGCTAAGGAATTGGTCGCGGACAATGGGTAGGCAGTCTGGGAGGCACGTGACAATGAGGTAAAGAGTAGCGCAAAGCGGCGGCGAGAAGGCAGTGAGCTGGGCCTCAGTGCTAGTGGCGTAGTAGCTAGCCTCAGTGCTAGCGGCGCAGTAGCTAGCCTCAAGTGCGCAGAGGTAAGTGGCCAGTTCCGCGACAATAGGGAAGGCCGCCAGATCAGGGAACAGCGGAGATTAGGGGAGGATCAAGTGGCCAGCGGAGGCAAAGGCAGGCGTAGAATTGCGCGAAACTACGGCATCTAAGAATTCATTGGCGTTCGCTGCAGTGGTAAAGCGGGGACGCTCAGATAGGGAGAGGGCGTGACTAATGGCAAGCTGCGCTACGGCGTCGCGCGACTCTCAGACAGCAGAAAAGGCCTCACGCTGAGCAGTGGTGGGGGCATCTGGGAGGGCTGCAGGCGTGGGAGGGCGGGGAAGCAAGCCATCGATATGACCAGCCAGGGAGTAACTGTCCAGGCACTGACCTGTCAGGTGACGGCGAAAATCGACAAGCTACGCATCAAAGTCGATCGCCCGCCCCTCCGCGTCCAGGCGGAGCACGTCGTCCGCCATCGCACGACCTCAGCGGCACGGCAACACGGCGGCACTGCAGCATGGTAACACGACAACATGGCGGCATGGCTCCACGGCTGCACGGCTGTACGGCTCCAAGGCGGCACGGCGACGCGGCGGCACGGTACGACGGCGGCCCGATGGCACGGCGGTACAGCTGCATGGGCCAGCGGGTGCGGAGCTGGTGAGACTAGGGGCCCGAGGATAGGGGCTGGCAGCGGGCGGCTGGCGAACGCGGGGCCAGCAGGCCCGTGTCTAGCAGGTGCAGGGCTGGCAGGCGGGGGGCCAGCGAGCCCAGGGCCGACGGGCACGGGGCTGGTGGACGCGGAGCTGGCGAACGCAGGGCCAGCGGGCGCGGGGCTGGCGGGGAAGGGGCTGGCGGGCACAGGCCTGGCGGGCACGGGGCTGGCGAAAGCGGGGCCAGCGAGCGCGGGCGAGCAGATGCGGGGCCAGCAGGCACGGAGCCAGTGGGCATGGGGCTGGCGAGCGCGGGGCCGACGGGCGCTGGGCTGGCGGGCGCGGGGCTGGCGAATGCGGGATCAGCAGGCGCGGGGCGGGCGAGTTAGGGGCCAGCAGGCGCGGGGCTTGCGTTCGCGAGGCCAGCGGGCGCTAGGCGATGGACGGCTACAGGACGAGCGGCTAGGGCTAGGGATGAGTGGCTAGGGCTAGGGCAAGGGCTAGGACGGAAGCGTGGTTGGGCGGGATCCTAAACTAGCATGATGCCATCTTAGAATAGAAATGATTGAATAGGATGAGGTGGTACAAGGGTATTTAGCCTAAGGTTTTGTACTCTATTTGAGCATGCACCTAGCTAGCCTATAACATATACAAATTATATGTTGACAATTCCAACATGTGTAAGATGATCTGATGCTGGGGTTTTAGAAATTATATTTATGCCATTAGATAATGCGGCATAATTCTGAGGTGTAGTGTTTTTATAACCGACTTGAAAACATCGAGTTTTTTTCGTGATGGAAGCCGACATGCTGGAGTTTCGATCAACTCGTACTTTCGTAGCCAAGCTGTGATTGGGTGAGCTGCGATAAGCAGTATCCACCCCAGAGCGGTTATCACACCGACAGAGAGTGCTGCGTCTGGCTTGAGTATTAAGGAGAAATTACTATAAATCTTTAGGGTTTAGGGTGGTGATTTAGGCGATTCGTTTGTCTAAAGAGCATACAATATACAAATGGAGTATTATATATTTTATCAGTACTCGAGCAGCGGACGCATCCAATTAAGCTACCTGAATTTCCTCACGAGTCACGGGTTTCGCTCGCCTTTGGATGGTCCCTAAAGACTGTGATGTGGTTGTCTGTGAATATGCAGAGTCTATGCTGAGAAAAACTGTGAAGGTTCCTCGGGTAGAAGGGGCATTCTAAACGTTTCTTCAAATCGCTCACCCCACGTGACGAACGGAACACCTACCGGAGGGCGTTGCTCACCTCGACAAACGAACGGCTGATCGATGGTGCGAAGAAAGCATGGGAAGGCCCCAGTTGAGCACGCACTGCCGACAGTAGTCAATATCGGACGATGAGGGTCACATCTGCTCCGACAGATGGCAGCAGCACAGCAAGCTTCCCTTCCCTCCCAAACTACTCTTGGAGAGGCTATCAGGCTTCGATCAGCACACCACATTCAGCTTCCCCCATCATGCTGGTCACAGAAAACCTTCTACCTTACCATTCTACCACGGCGCCTACCGAGATTAGGGACGACTGTCACGGCAGTGAAGCAAACCGCAAGCTCAGCGAGCGCCGCGACGACAGAGCGCACCTCGTCCACGCGTGCTTCCTCTAAATCCGCGCAGCCTTTTCTACGGCTTGCACAACAGCGTTGCCAGTCGCGGGCACATGAACGTCGCAAAGGCGGCGCAAGATGATCCTACCTGGATGCCGCATAAATATACTCAGAGAGGTAGGCGAGAAACGCGTGGGAGCGACCAGACTCATTTGATTTCGTGAGTTTTCTTCGGCGTGGAATATTCTTGATGCATGAATGATAAGCAGTCTTCCGCTATACTCGGAGTTTTTCAGCCGCGCGATCGTGACTAACTTCTGCGGACACAAGCATCGCTCGTTCAAAGATGCGTCATTGACGACACCCGACTTTTTGGTTTTAGTTCGACCAGGCCATCGATGTGCGCACTGTTGTGACCACTCTCCCTGTCCTTCCACCCTCTGCTCTTCGCCTCGCAGGCAAAAGTAGACTGCCGCGCTGACGCGGACGAGCTCTGCCATCTCTTGAGACAGCGCGTGCCGCCACGCCGCCGGGATGTGCAGGACGGCGCGTTGTGCTGCGCAGGGGCTACGCTCAGACGAACACGCCGGACGAAGATAGACGATTTGCCTCTCCGCGGCGCGTCATCATGGCGGGGCTGCACAAGCGGGCATAGGCCCAGCGAGCGACGCCATAGTAATGGCTCGTGGATGGCGTGCACGTTTCTCACCATCTTACTACTTCTGTTGCTGCATTGCCAACATGATGTAGTGGCGGCTGCAGCAGACACCTTGGCAGGTACTGCGACGACGCATTGTCCTTTGCTCCATCCTCGTGTTCTCTGCACTGTACGTTCAACTCCTTCACTTCAACGATTCCCCCGCCTCCCTCTTCCCCTGGCCACATGCAGCGGCGGCGGTGCGGATAAACTGTGGCGGTGGCGCGCGGGTGGCGGGGGGGACGGGCGGGTGTGGGAGGCGGACGCCTTCTTCGTGGGCGGGCAGGCGGCCGTGCTCGCGTCCATGCCGCTCGCTCTCTCGCCGGAGCTGCGCTCGCAGCGCGTCTTCCACGCGCGCGACGTCAGCTGCTACGACATTCCCCTCGCCCCCGGCCGCTTCATCGTGCGCCTCGCCTTCGCCTTCCACAGCGACCAGCTGCCTGCAGGGTTCGGAGCAGAGGGCGGCAGCGCTGGCCCTGACAGCACATCCCTGTGGCCCGAGGCCGCTGCCTCTCATCTCTCGGCCACCTCCATCTCCAGAAGCACAGCGGACAACTCAGCCTTCCCGCACCGTGCTGCTTCCGCAGAGCATCCGGCCCCGCCCTCAGCTGGAAGGGGTCGTGGCGGCGAGGGCGGTGGTGAGGGCGATGCTCACGACGAGCAGACGCAGCGGCGGTGGCCGCGGTTTGCAGTGGTGGTGGAGGGCGTGCAGATGGAGACGGTGAGCATGGCGCAGCAAGTGGGGGTGGTGTATGTGCCCGAGTACATAGTGGACAGCACCGACGCCTCGCTCACACTCTGCTTCCTACCTGTGTGGGGCCACGCGCTCGTCAACACCATCGAGGTGCTGCCAGTGCCCGCCTCCTTCTACCTCCTCCCGCCCGTCGTCCCCCCCAACTCCTTCCTCGCCCTGCGCGCCCGCATCGACTGCGGGCGAGCCATGAGCCAGCGGCCACAACAAAGGTTCTCTTCCGCCGGCCGTGCACACGAGGCTGCGGTGAGGAGTCGGCAGGCCGTCCAGCCAGCACAAGTGGAGACTAATGGCGCTGCACAGAGCTCGAGCAACTCCACAAGTTGGCTGCTGGGCTCTGCCAACCGTTCAGACCTGGCAGTTGCAAGTGATGGCGAAACCCTGGTGGATTCCCTGGGCAGGCGGTGGAGCAGTGACCTGTTGCGGCTCGTGCCTGCTGACCAGAAGCAGGACGAGGACGACGGACTGGAGAAGAAGGAGCGGTCAGGGATAGCACCGCCCAAGTCCGTTTCCGTCATGTCGCCCATAGCCAGTGCTGACGCAGCGCCTCTGTTCCTACCACAGGCGCTGCTGCAGACGTCACGCGAAGCAGTGCTGGCGAGTGGGCTGCACTACTCGTTTTCGTTCCGCATTCCTGCGCGCCTGAACCGGTGGGTGGTGCTGCTGCACTTCGTGGCGCTGCAGCCGGAATCGCGTGTGGGGGAGCGAGTGTTTGACATCCACGTGAACGGAGTGACTGTGAGAGGCTTTGACATCCTCAGGGAGGCCAAGGGCCTCCACAACCGCCTCGTCACGCTGCCAGTCGTCGTCGGCTTCAGCCGCCCCGCCATTGGGTCCGCACCCACTCTGGAGGTGCAACTGGTGGCCCGCAACGGCAGCCAGTTCAGCCCCCTGGTCAGCAGCATCGAGGTCATCGAAGTCGTGCGCGCCAATGTGCCCCGAGAAAACGTTGTTTCAGGTAAACCCTGTCTCAAGTAAACCTCATTTGGGTAAACCTCGTGTCGAGCGAAACCCCTCTTTCTCCCCCCATCTCTCCTCCCCTCTCTCTCCCCAGTCTCACCCTCTCCTTCCTCTCTCCCCCCTTCTCCCCCCTCTTCCCCCCCCTCTCTCCCCCTCTCGCTCCCACTCTCACACTCTCTCTTGCATCCCCCTCTTTGGCTCCGTTCCTTCCGGCGCCCACTGGAATGGTTTCTGTGCATGTTTGTCTGTGCATGTTATCTGTGCATGGGCGCAGAGCTTCAAGTGCAGCAGAAGACATCAGGGTCACAAGCTGCCCCTTCACCCAGCCCCTCTCACCCGAGCCACGCTGGTGTGGTGGCAGGGGCTATAGGAGGGGCTGGGGCACTGGTGTTCCTCGTTCTCATGGTTCCGTTGCTGCTTTTGTGGCGTCACCAGCACCGACGGCGCCATGCCGTGCGTTCACAGCTTCGTGACGAAAATGCCATTGACTCCGCAGCAGTGCAGATGGATGACACAGGGAATTGGGAAGCTGCACCAGAAATAGTAGCAATAGATGTTGGCTTACCACTTTCAGACCATGGCTAGGCAACGCCATAAGGGGTCCGCATACAGAAATAGCGCAAATGTACATACTATCTCAATTTTTTGAAATATACGCCCCACCGGGCTCGACCTGCTCAGCGGAAACAGGAGCTGAGAGCTTGTGGTCCACCGGCAGGGGAGTGGGCTGTGCCAACGAGAACTGAAGGCCTAACTCTTAGAACTGAGAGAATGAAATGAGTAGAGAACATGGGTACAAGCATTCATATAAAAGAGTTGTACTCTCTAAGAGGTGACCCTAAATAGTCTATACAAACACTAGATATACTAATGTTTGACACACCCCCTAGACTGCATAGGGGAAGTTCCTGAAAAAGCAGCTCAGGGCGGCACTACTAGTCCAGCCACTGAGACAAGGGTCTAAAGATCAGTCAACAGGTGTGCAGGCAAGGCAAGAACAAGACCAGGGCAGCACTACTAGTCCAGCCACTGGGAGAGGACACAAGTCCAGTCTGAGTAAATATATATAAAGGACAGTACAAAGTCAAGGCCCTAGCAAGTGAGAGGCTACAGGAACTAGACCAAGCTCTACACAGTGCCGCTGATGATCTTTAGGCGCAAGCGCCTTTGTAAAGATATCAGCTGTGTTGGCACCGGAGGCCAAGTGTACTACGCGAGCCTCGCGGCGCTGCTGTAGCTCGCGCAGGAGGAAGTACGGAAGCTGGATATGCTTCGCTCTGCCCTCGAGTCGAGGCTCCTGACACAGGAGGATCATGGCCCTGTTGTCAGCGTACAGGACCGGGGCAGAGCTAGGCCGCTCACCTAAGTCAGTGAGCAAGAAGGTCAGCCAGCGGAGCTCCTGTGCCGCCATGGCACCGGCATAGATCTCGGCCTCACAGCTGGACTGGGCAACAGACGAGGAGCGGGTAGCTCTCCACGAGACGGCACCTGAACCAAGGCTGCAGCAGTAGCCCTGGGAAGACCTGAGTGTCTCAGCGTCGTCTGCCCAAGACGCGTCTGAGTGTCCAGTAAGGACCACTGGCCTGCGTCCTCCTAGCACTAACCCCATGCCCGATGTACTTGCGAGATAACGCAGAACCCTCTTAGCGGCAGACCAGTGCTGCGGTCGGTGTCTACCTGTGGCCACAAAGCGAGCCAGGATGCTGAGAGGGTATGCGAGATCTGGGCGAGTGCAAGTCATCAGGTACATGAGGCAACCCACCAGCTCTGCGTAAGGACCACTGGGCTCTATTGAATCCTCAGGAACTGGAGCGGAGAGTCTGTGGTCTACAGGAAGAGGGGTGGGCTGTGCGGAGTAGAATTGAAGGCCGAACCTCTGAAGGACCTGGCGCACCAAGTGTGACTGAGTCAAGGTGATGGTGCGCGCTGCTCTGTCCTTGGAGATATGCAAGCCAAGGTAACGGCGCAGTTCTCCAAGGTCAGTGCAACTGTGTCTCTTCAGCAGCTTTGCCTTCACGGAGGCCAGTGCATCCCTGTCTGCTGTGGCAAAGACCAGATCGTCCACGTAAACAAGGATGTAGAACGAAGTTAGGCCAGCACGAATGAAGAGTGAGGGGTCTGCGGAAGACGGAAAGAACTGCAGGTCAGCAAGCGTAGCACGCAGCGTGTCGTGCCACTCACGGGGAGCCTGCCGCAGGCCGTAGACGAGACACCGCAGGAGCCACTAGGTCCAAGGAGGGAAGGTGCCAGTGAAGCCCTGAGGGCGACGCAGGTAGACCTGCTCGTGTAGGCTGCCCTGAAGGAAGGCAATGGAGAAGTCGAGGGAGTGAAGCTCGTAGTCACGCTGAGCAGCTAGGTGTAACAGAACCTGAAGAGTAGTCATCTTCGGGGTCGGAGCGAAGGTCTGGAAGAAGTCCACCCCCTCACGCTGATTGGAGCCTCTAGCCACGTAGCGCGCCTTGAAGACAGGCGGCTCTCCAGGAGGGCGCTTCACCTTGAAGAGCCAGCGGCCATCGACTACGTTCTCCCCAGGTGGGGGAACTGCGTCGACGTAGGTGCCGGTGGATCTCCAAGATGCCATCTCCTGCTCCATGGCAGCTATCCACTGGGAGGCCTTAGGTCCCGAGGTCGCCTCAGCGTAAGTGCGAGGGGTCGGGATGTCGAAAGCGTCTGGGTCACCCTCAGGGACTAGCAGCATGGAACAGAGATGGGGAGCAGCCTCGGACAGGAAAGCAAGCTCGAACTGGCGGTCCTCCAGGACGTCACTGCCGAGGGCACGAGCACCCTCGACAGACGGAGGACAGGCAGGGTCAGAGACCAGAGCGGTGGCGTAGTCAAGGCGGCGGGTAGAGGCGAAGTCAGCGACCGCAGCGACAAGAGCATCAAGACACGAGACCGGAACAGACGGGTCGATAACGAGGGAGGCGAGGACCCGAGGAACAAGAGGACAAACGGCACGAAGGTAGTCAGACAGAGGAGGAGGCGCAACGGTAAGAGAGGACGGAGGAGGCGACGGGAGAAGGGGAGGACGAGACGCATGGGAACGGAGCAACATAGGGTGAGAGCGCGAGACAGGGGAGACAGGACGAGCGCGGGAGGGACGGCGGGACCAGACGTGAGATGGAGGCGTCGGGTTAGGAGACAGGGGAGGGGACACAAGGGGGGAGCAAGGGGGAAGACAAGCCAGGGACGAGTCCGGCGGAGGGAACACAGGGCCGTAGACAGGAAGAGGAGGAGACGGCAGGAGAGGAACGGACGCAGGGTCAGGGGTCGGAAGGCCGAGAAGGCGAAGGGCTGACACCGGGGGGGACTGCTGCTGCGGCGGCACAACACCAACACCGGGACCGCCAGCTGCTCCTCGGCTACCTCTGGGACACTCCACTCCGGCACCCCCAGAAGGAACACCCCCACAGCCCAAAGCCCCCCGAGCACCAGTACCACCCCCAGGGACGCGTCAAGGGGGAAACCTAGGAAGACGCAGGGAAGGGTGCGGGCAGTGAGCTTGTCTGTGCCAGAGGCACGAACGTGAGCAAGGCAGCCCCAGACGTGGAACGCAGACGCGTCACCAGGAGACCCGGTCCAAAGAAGGGTCGGCGAAACCTGCGGCTGCTGGGGGTGCGGCTGCAGGTTAAGCTGGTGAGCAGCGTAGCGTACGGCGAACGGCCACAAAAAATGGGGTGCACCGGCATGGATCATGGAGGTGCGAGCCACCTCCATGACCAAACCGATGCGTCGCTCAGCGACCCCATTTTGCTGTGGGGAGTCCGGCAGGGTGAACGTCTGGGTGATGCCCTCCGCACGTCAGAAGCGACCAAGGACACCTGAGGCAAACTCGCCACCACGGTCGGAGTGAAGACGCAGGATAGGGAGACCTCGGTGGACACGGGCAGAGACAAGCCAGGGGATGAGAGCGTCAGGCACGTCGGCCTTGCGCTCCAGGGGAAAGACTGTGGTGTAGCGAGTGAAGTCGTTGACAAGCACTAGGAAGTAGCGCTCTCGACGCGGCCCATGGACGGGGGCGGGGCCCCTGACATCCATGTGCAGGGTCTGCAGCGGCGCAGCAGTAGGGGGAAACGAGAGGTAGTGAGGGGCACCGCGTAGCCGACCCTCGACACAAGGCGTGCAAGGTGGGGCGGGGGAGGAGGGAAACGCGGGGAACGAACCAGGGAGACCAAGGACGAGACCGTGCTGGGACATGTGACGCAGACGCGGGAGTGCAGGGTGACCTAGGCGATGGTGCCAAAGGAGAGTCGGGTGAGTGAGGGACCGACAGGAGCAGGCAGTAGCAACCTGGGTAGACGCAGCCACTTGAAGGGGCGCCCCAGCTGGGGGGGTCACGGTGTCCAGGGTGAACAGGCCGGACACCGGGTCCCGGGGGAATGTGGACAGGGGGGCACCAGTGGCGGCCTCGGTACAGACAGTATACCGCTCGTGACCAGGGAACGTAGTGGTAACGCCAAGGTCTTGGAGGCAGCCGACACCAACTAGGTTCCTGGAGAATGAGGGGATATGCAGATCTGTGAGAGAGCCCGAAGGAACCGCCGGACAGGGAAGGGTGGTGGAACTGCGAGCGACTACGGGACTGCCAGAGGGGTCAGCAAGAGAAACTGCAGCAGGAACAGGAAGCAGCGTCAGCGTAGTAGAGTCGCGGAAGAAACACCGGGAAGCGCCAGAGTCCAAGGTGAAGGAAAGCGAAGCAGTGGCGTTTGGGGACGGGGCGACGACGGAAGCACCAAGGCTAAACAAAGCAGAAGCTCCTACGCCTGACGCAGCAGGGGAGGCTAAGCTAGGCACACCTACACTAGGCGACAAGGAGTGATAAGAGGGGAGCACACTAGAGTCATCAGTATACATCAGATGCAGGGCAGAAACAATGGCATCCATGTCCATGTCAAAAATATGAACTCTACGACTAAGCAAACTGTGCCAGTCCGGGAGGTCTGGCGACGGGCCGAAACGATAACGAAACAGGTCGTCCAGGCGACGAAAACAGCGGGCAGTGGTGTGACCGATCTTACCGCAATCGAAGCCGCGGTGAGGACTGGTCTGGAGATGGTACTGACAGCGCACGCCTCCCGAACCGCCACTTGGTACACCACCACGCGCACGACCACCACCAGCGCCGGGCCACCCGGGGGGGAGGGCACTTGTCTGCCTCGTCTGCGGCGGCTGCTGCGGCTGCTGCGGCTGCTTCGGCTGCTGCTGCTGCTGCGGCTGCTGGGGCGGCTGCTCAGCTGGACCTGGCAGGGCCCCCTCGTCCACTCCACCACCAGACGACCTGACTCCACCACCACCTCCACTGGCACCCCCACCACCTCCGCCGCGCCCAGCCTTGGGGCGGCGGCCCTTTCCCGGACGGAACTGCGCTGCAGCGGTGGTCTCAGCCACAGCTGCAGAACCATCGGAGACGGTGCACTGAGCGGGGGCACAACCCTGAAAGATAGGGACCGGCACGGTACTGCTCGCCTGGGCGATAGAGCGGTGGCGGGTCTCAATAACAGTCAGGGTGTCTACAAAGTCTGTGAGGGTGAGGTCTCTGGGGTGAATGTTAAGGAAGCGGTCACGAGCAGCGGCAAGGCGGTCAGAGAGGCGGGTGGCAAGCATGTAGAGGGTAGAGGTAAGAGGCGGCTGGTG